GCCTCCCCGGGCCCGTGCGCGGCTGCGGGTGCCCCCGGCCCCGCCGGGCAGCGGCTGGGGGGGCATGGAGGAGCCTGGAGGAGTCTGGATAGGCCCCCACGTCTCACAGCGAGAGTTCCCAAGCTTTGGAAGCAGCCCGGTTTCTGCGGCTTTTCGATGCCCAAAGACCTCCAGGCGCTTCGGGAGAAGGATCCCAAGCACATCCAGCCCAAAGACTGATCGAGCGGTTTTGTCCACTCGTCAGTGGAATCAAAAGGATCAAACTGGAAAGGAATCTTTGATTTTGACCTGTACTTCGTTGGCTTTATCCTGCAGAGAAGTGTGATCACAATCCCTGTCTGGATTTTTCCTGTGGACATCACACTTTAAAAAGGGATTTGTCCCCTGCCTGGACCTGATGCTGCTCCCATAGGAAACCAGAAAACCACAGGAACAAGCCACAGCCCTCATTTAGGCTCCATTCGTGGTTTAGGGTTGTCGAGCTGTTGTGCAGGAGATGTTTCCCCCCATTCTGCACTTCAGCTGCCCCAGCTGCAGCCACCTCATCATCACCCACCTCCCTTATAACGCAGCCTGAAGCAGAACAAAACCTGCTCCTTACAGAGTCCCGTCTCTGTATGGAAGGCAGCAACAGGGGGATCCTGATGGTCCATAGACATTTGCAGTGGATTCCTTGGGAAGTCACAGAGTCCATTTGGGCTGAAAAATGATCCTTCCTTTCCTTGCAGCTCTCTCTTTCCTCCTCCAGAAATATTTGTGCCCCTAACACAGCTCGTGCTTCACTTTGGTGTCCAATTTGGCTGGTTTCTACACTGAACTCACAGAACACAACCACAGAGGCTTTTTCACCAGAGACCAGTTTCCAGATCCAATTATTTAGCAAATGTTTTGTACAGCCACAAAGACCCTAATTAGTCACTTCCAGCTCAATCCCACTGAAGCTCATGCAGCTCCTTAAAACCCCAGACTGAAATCCCAGCAGGGATTACTCACCAATCATCTTTCCAAGGGAATAAATTTCACTTGATTGGTTTCTTTACAATGATTGTCCCATCCTGCATAAACAAGCAGGAGCATGAGGTTCTCCCGGGAACAGGAGTGGTTTTCCAGCCACAAACCTTCCCTGGGCTGTATCTCTGGAGAGCAGAAGGGGCTTCTGTCAACAGCAGCCATGAATGGGAAGAGGTATAAATGTAAGTTAATAAAAATAATTAATAACTCAATTGAAGTAGTACAGGAAGGGAGGCACCAGCCCCTGTGAACGTTGAGCAGCCCAAGTAAAAGCAGATGTGAGTTCCCAAAGCCTCTGTGACAGCAGAGAGGGAGGGTGGGACTTTCCCAAGGGTTAGTCCCTCACCACATCCTAAATTTGTAGCTGTTTACTATGAGTTAGAGCCACACACCGGCTTTATACACTGTTAAATGTATAAATACATTTGTATAATGTATAAACATTTATACATTGTTACTGTAAAGCTCTGCTGCCAACATCAGTGACCCAGTT